CATCCAGTTGTCACGCGCGCCGTACAGCTTGTCAACGGACGTTTGGATTTGGTTGTTTTCCAGTTGAATACGCTTGATCTTAGCAGCAGCGATAATTGGTGCAAAAATATTGTGTGGATTGAAGCAGGTCAGTGCGGTTTAGAGCTTCACATCGTTGAGAAATTTCATGGAAAGTCTGTTTTGGATCGGATTTCTTCGATGCTTTGATTGCTCAGTCGTTTCGTCCGATCCCGCCTTGTTACCAAAGCATCTGGCAGCCTTTGCACTGTTGCTATGGCCGGAACTGCAGTGCTGGGTGGTTAGCCTGCTTGTGACTCTGATGTCCACTTCTGTGTTCCCATTTTGCTCTTGTGTTGAGAAGCAAGTTGCATTTAATCTGTTCATTTAAAAGTTTATTTTTTTGGCTTGGTTCTTCTACGACGTTTTCACAGTCTCCATCTTTCGCGATTGGAGTTCTCTTATAAAAATGGGTATGAGCTGGAAGAACTCCAAACCACCCGTCTTTAAATGGAGACCTGACGTACTAAATTACTGCGCAACTAACCCTTATGCCCACAAAGAGATTAGAATTTCCTCCACTCTTTATCTGCTTTTAAGGCGGAACACATCTTATTTCTCATTCCATGAGAAATATACGATTGTCATGGCGAGTGTTCTTTGCCAGCTTCTCGTAGGTTTTTCACAACATTATTTACCGCTGGAAATACGCTCAGAAAAGTGGTTATTTAACAGTTCCCACCACACAATCACTTTTTTATTTCTCAGTCAGAAGTGCGTAATTTTCAGGACAGCAGCTTTACAAGCCTGGAAAGTTCACAGAGAATTACGATGAAGTAGTGGGTTTGAATGTAGAAACATTTAGAAAATTCATGGCTTTGTTACTGATCAGGTGATAAAGTTGCGCTTTGTGCGTTATTATTTTGTGATGCCTTTTTTTGCTTGTTGTTGTTGTTGTTGGATGCGTATAATATATGTTTCTAGATTCGTCTTCTTTGTCACATGGTTCATTGCCAATGTAACAAATATTTCTGCAACAGGTTTTTTTTTATTGGTGAAATTGTTAAGAACTTGCTAAGTAGTCACCGAGATCGTCCAAACTTTCTGTGTGGAGTACCGTAGTTATTTTTATGTACTCCCGCGCTTTAGCTACGCCAGACGTTAAGTTTTCAAGGTTTTTTTGATCCTTATCGTTATCGGATTTTATTTTCTGTTATGATGGTAACGATATCCTGCTCACTGTCCAGCTACCTAAGCATGCGATTGTTTGTTATGACCACATGCATTCACCGTGCTATTGGTTTAATCAGTATTCACTGATTCCTGTTGTCAGTAACCACGTTTCGCATCCTTACGTCGTTTCGGAACGATAGTTGCCCGCTTTTCACGTTTTTTCGTCGCAAAGTGAGGTCTAATGAATTCTAATTCAGATTCCAGCATACCATAATGGACCGAAAACAACCTGTTTCAGCTTACCTTCTAATTGCACAATAGTTCTTTTAAAACCTCTTATCTCAAATCGAACGCTTTTCCAAGAAAGGGTCTGTGGGGGAGCCTCTCCGTTATTGTACTTTGTTTTTTTGAGACATGGACTGCGTTAGGTTTTCAAAACTTACATTTTGCTGTACGCTTGAGTCTGGCTGGCGCTTTATATATCAGTTGGTTCCCATCTTTTGCAGATTTTTATGGGCGAGGTACTTCTCACACAGGAACACTTGAATTTTTTACGACGACATTTACAAACATTGCCAGGCAGTTATCGAAAATTTGACTCGAATAGGTTAGTTTTTTCTGTTGTCCGATGTAGTACATCAGAAATTTCCATCTCAACCATTTTGTATTTATTCTGACTTGTTTCTTATTGGACAACCTGGTGAGCTGGGACGCCTCATATCAGTTATATGACAGATCGTGCATATCTCCACAGTGTGGTATTTGATGTAAATACTAAACTGTTCATCTTCTTCGCTACCCTCATTCGGTTCTTTGTCGGCTGCGGAAATTTTTAGGCTAACGGAAATTCAAAAGAGGGTTATTTAGGAGGAAGAACAGCGGAGGGAAAAGTGCTTGAGTTTTGTAAGTTCAGAAATGTGTTTTAATAAAAGTGTTAAACTTTAGAGGTTGTGAAAAGTTAGCCTTGGAGAACGAAGTTTCTTTGTAGGGCAACGATTCTTTTCTTTACTTTATCATCGCTTGATGTTCTGGGCAAGCTGGAAGAGGAAGTTGACGAGGATAAAAGACAGGAACTTATCAACTGGATCTATCGATTGCAGCTAAAAAGTGACTCCGGTGATTTTTCAAAAAAAGCTTTTCCTTCCACTTATTTCAGCCGTTCCAGTTTTAAATTCTTTACTTTTCAAAGGGTGGATGTCAAAGGTTTTGTATATACAAGAGAAATAATTCAAATTCAGATCACTAATGTGTTGTGCTTATGTTTGAAACGCAACAGCCTTTCAGAGAAATGAAACTGCATTCCACAGACCCCATTAAATTCAATAACTCACTTGCTGAAACAGCCTGGGGCGATGTTCCTGATCTTATATGATAAGTGTTTCAAGTTACTAATTCAAGTATTCGAACTCAGCATAGAAGCGCACTGTCCTTGCTGAGTATGCTGTGAATTTGTATAAGATACGACGGATGGCCTGAAAGGGAGTGTACCAATTCGCGACGAGTGAAATTGACGGGAGATGGTTTACGAAGATCGATTCTTGCTAACAGTAAATCTGACTCCTGAATAGTTTTCTGTCTTTTTTTCATACCAAACAAAGTCAGTTTATTTTCCTTCCAAGACTTCAGTGTGTTGAACCATTCCTTTTATTTTACGCTCACACCAGGGCTGTTTTTCGACAATCGTCTGATGTTTTTTTAGATTGTTTCAGATGTTTTTAAGTTTGTTTTCTCCCTCTCCTTCCATCTCCCTTCCCAATATCTAAGCGTTCTGTGGCGGCATCCTTCAGCTGCCCGGGATTCTTAGTAGTTTCTCGCCCGCTAGTTGTTAATTCGCGCTACTGATCGAAACGAAAGGTGCGCTGGAGAGTGCACGTTCTTATGTCACTTCATTCTTGCTTTTTCTCATGTAAGTTTTATTTTGCGTTTTACGCACCTAGCTGTTTGTCCTTAAGAACATCACCAGTTGCTGGTGTATGATCTGTATTACTCAGGCTTGGCCTGACAAAGTGCAACCCACAATTACCTCGATATGATATGAGCTGCCGGGACTTCCGTGTTTTGATGCGCTACTACTCCTTGCCACTCCCAGCCTCGATAAGTTGCTTGTTGTCGAGTTTTTTGGCAGAATCCTTTATGCAGTCTTGGTTGTTCTGGAAGATTTCAATGCTGAATTTGGGCGAGGAAAGACAGATGAAAAGAATTCGTTGGTATGGCGTTAACGAATGAAATGAAAGAAATGAGGGACTCCGAACAAGGCAAATTATTTGTTGTTGCCTGATTCTGCAAATATGTGGGATGGAGTTGGTCTTGATTTGCGCTGAACTTAGAAATCATTGGTGAAATCGAATGTTTCCCATCCTAAAAGTTGCCTGCTTAGTGCCCTCCTTTCAATTATAACAGATCCAGAGACATCGATGGGAGATGATAAATCGGAATTGGTCAGGAGTGTAAATGCAGGGATTGCGCAGAAAGAGCCGAGTGCACTCAGTCCTGACGAACGGCTACCGAAATACTGCTGGAAAGATGTTTGAAACGTAAAGGAGATTAAATTCCACCCCTTGAATATCCTCCTTGCACACATTCAGACTGGAAATGAAAGAGGGAAACAATGACTGTTGTCATCAATGGCTTTTTGAAAAAAGCGAAGCCTGGATCTGTGCAGGAAGGAAATATTATTTATGTCACGATGCAGTGGCAAAGTATCAGACCATAAATGGAGAAACTGTACAGAAGATTCTGCCCGAATCCTCTCGCATCACGTGCCAGTGCTATAATCCACTCCAGCAGGCACTAAATTCCTGTTCTCATAAGCGAGGTGAAGTGTATCGGCCCCTGGTTCCGTGGATGCAGGTGGAGCCCACGACAAAAATTTCTCCCTATCAGGGTTCAAGGCACCTAGGCGGATGGACGCAGCCGCAGGTAGGCGTTTGGCCTCCTTATATAACCTATTGTGCCACCCGTCTTAACATGGATGAAAATAATATTGGTATTATTAATATGGGTTTTTTGGAGGGCGCGCCCCGAACCCTAAACCCAGGACGCCCGCAATTTGCGGGTGATGATAATTCCTTCGCCATCACCTCTCTTGAATGGGCTCCGCGCACTAATGAGGGTGGCGAGGTAAATAACCGTCTCCAACAACATCGGGGACGGCAACCTGGGTCGGAGGCGGAAGAAGACACATTGCGCCAGCTGTGCCTTCAGTACACCAGGAGAGTGAATTGGAACGAAGTCTACCCGCGC